AAATGTATATATAATATATATATATATATATATATTATATATATATATATATATATATTATATATATATATATTATATATACATAGATGTAAAGTAAGCTTTGGAAGGAATTTACAGGAACCTGATCATGGCACTGCACAGTCTCGAAGGCCAGGGGCCGCTCAGTGCACCGTGCGCAAGGTGACGTAGACCAGAATGCTCAGAATTGAGTGTTGCCTAAATTTGGCCTAAATGTGCCGATGCTACATAAAGGAGGACGTCAAGCGCCACACCATGCACAATTTCGACTCAAACAGGCTCTGCAAATTGGCACGCTGCACTCCGGACATAAGCCGTGCTCATACTTCATGCCTCCGAGCGTCTTATCACAAGCCTCTCGCATCTGCAAACTTGTCTTGAGATATCCTACCCCAACGTGCATCGTACAAGGACAGCTGCGCATTGTAACTGAAGCCCCGTCGAAGCAACGGCAAGCGGAACACTTACCAAAATGGTTCCCAAGGCTTGTCTTACACGCCGGCGCATAACAACAAAACTGCGACTGGATGCTGCTGAAACGCATGCATCGGCCCGATGTCACGGCTCCAATAGTTGGGATCCTGGGAGACCGGAAATTGCATGAGCTGAGATGGGGATGGGATTGAGTGCGACCCAGGTCAAGTGTGATATTTCGCAGGTGCTCTGGCAGGAATACCTACCCGGACAGGAGCAATGCGGTGATGTACCATGGTGAGCTCTGCCATGGTTACTGTCTGGTCTGCGTGGTCTTGCTATGCTTGGAACATAGGTGAATCACCTCGAAGCCGACTGTAAGGCTCTAGCAACCTACGACACAAGCCACGAGCTGAGCGAAGCTGCTAAGCCAACAAGCAAACAAAGCGGTGCAGCCCCTGCAGCCCAGAGTCGAAAGATCCCGATTGCGCCTGACACAAGAAAGCTGGGATGGGTCTGCCGCAGAGGAAGCGATGTCGAGCACATCGGTGAAAGTACACGGAGCATCAGATCATGCAAGGCGCGTATGGCATCGGATATCGCGCATTGTAGCCTCGAGCGAGGCAGATCCGGAAGACACAGATGGGACTTTCTCATCCAACAGCGCGACGCAGGAATGTCGTGCTACTTCTTGGATTTTTGATCCGTCCTATCATGCACTAAACTATTTACGACGAGGCTGCCATATGAATGGCCCACCCTTCAGGTCGAGTATTATTCTTCGAGGTTGGATCATTTTGACGGCAGGCTGGATCCCACTTGCCAAGAAGCTCTTGAAGGCTTCTGCTGAGGCGTATTCATGGTTGCCGGGGCACGACATCACCTCTCGCGGCTTCGCATTAATGGTAGTCACCAGGTTGAAGTAAACTTTCATGGCCGACTCCCGAAAAACCTTAAGCCTAACCCCTAGGCCTATAGAATTGTATAGAAATCCGAAACCGTAGATGAGAAACTCGAACCCCCTAAGCTTAAAACGTCAAACCCTACAAACTGCAGACACTAAACTCCCTAAGCTTTACTTTAAGACCCCTACTCATTGCCTTCAATCGGCTCCATGTCCGAAATGTCCCAACATCTCACATCTGCTATCGGAAGTATAAAAAACAAGGATGTCCGTAAGGAGAGTGGGGCTGAGCCTCAAGGTGAGCTTGAGAGGGAAACCCCTGTGGCAATGTTTGCGATATGGAGAATGGGAACGCTAATGATTTGACTGAGCACTAAAACGAAGTGTCTGGGTTCGGCGAAAGATGCGACTTGTCTTCAGCTCTGTTGTCTTCTAGTTCTAGTCTGCTGTTGGGTGTTGGTGGAAAATGCTGAAAAAGATGATGATGAGGATGACGAAACTGGTGGTGGTAAGATGAGAACCCGAAAAACGTGATTCGAAACCCGAAGCATCCCGAAACTCAACCTGTCCCCACGCTCAGCTTTGAGAAGACGCCTTGCCTTTCCGACACAACCAGAAACAGGAGCGATAGCAGGGATTCTTCGGACAAGCACAGAGACTGCTCGGGAAAACCGGAACCTTATTTTCATGGGACCAGCAATGTCGCGGAAACGTGCCGAGCATTGTCTACATGTTATGAGAGTCGCAGTCTGGTCGAGTCTTTGAGGGCAATCAGCCCCCCGCCCAAGAATAAACATGAAATCACTCCAACATAATGTGCAAAACCTTCCGCGGCGGTTACAGGCAGTTTTTCCGCCAGCAGCCGGAAAGACTCAAGGCAGCAATTCACATCGACAGTACGACAGCAACTAGGCAACTAACGTGCAGACAAGCGTTGCAACCGACATAAACAGATCTGACATCCACAACCAAAGAGTGAACAAAAAGGTTGCAAATGCTTGTTGTGCGTGCGGACAATGCCCTCCGCAAACAATAATGAACTTTTCGCAGACTAGATTGCGGATATCAGGCGGTGCCGAGGTCTATTACCACCGCCACGTGCTACTGCCCCCCTGCTGCTACTACTGCGACGAGTGCTAGAGCTAGGACGAGTACAAGTAGCAGCAGCAGTCATCAAACAAGGGTTCAGGCTCATAGACTAAAAGATTGGAGCTCTGCTATGGCTGCATATTGGCTCGGTTACGACTGTGGCGAGGCCCGGCTTTAAGCCCCGAAGCTGTCAGGCCGCCATGTCTCATAGCCCACGCTTGGCCCTTCCTGCAACCTTTCATCTCCAGGCATACCTGTAAGATAAAATCAATGGGCCGAAAGTGATTTTCCAAACTAGGGAGGGGTATGTCGTGCACTGGTGTTCAACAAGAAGTCGCACATGTGACGTACAAACATTTGGAGCTTCAACAAATATATACCCTATTCCAGAACCCTAAACCGTAGGATAGTCATGAGGGCCTCGAAATAAGGTACATCGACTTTTCTGAAGCCACCACACCTGAAATTAAAAGATTGAGGAGCGCTGAAGTTTCGCCAAGCTGCTGGCACACGAGCATTCAGAGGCTCGGCCCTGCAGTGGCTTGGGGATCGAGGAGGACTGGTTCGGGGGCGACCCTTTCTACGATGTCAACCTAGAATCTCACGACCAGGAACGGACTATGAGCTTGTAGCCACTTCTCCGTCCCATGATCTAAATTAGAGCACGAGCCCTACGTGACAGTCGAGCACCATTCTCTGTCGAAATGCATGATAAGAGTGGTCTAGGGCCCTTGAGCCCAATCAAAACAAGCCATGTGGCATGATTCCGTACGAGTCCCACCGAGGAATGTAGCCTGGGTTTTGTCAGGGATCGCTTCCCTACGAAAGACTGCAGGGTGACATCGAGTCAGGATTTGCTTTTTCTCCGGTTGTTCCTCGCCAAATCAACACCCAAAAACAACGAAACATCACAACACTGCGACGAATCAACTTTTACTTTGTAAGTCTACAAACTACGTACCCCGATTCTGCGTCAACGAACTAGAACTGACCCCGATGCCTGCCATAATAAACCTTGATGTCGAGGAGTTGTTTTGTTGGGCTTCGCAGAAACATACAGACGCTGCTAAACGACTTCAACCAGTTCAAGCTGTGAAGCCGTCCGCATACGACAGGTCGCCAGTCAACAACACCTGTCAACAAGCCCGGCTGCAAGGACAACACAGATGTTCATGTCAGGTGATCGGAACGAGCGCCCGGGAGCTACTCACGCCTAGTTCCTTCCAGTTCTCGTTGGCAGTTCCAAGAGATGCGTGCGAGTGACATCATGCGACGCAGTCCAAATGCATGATAAATTCGCCGACCATTGTCACGAAAGGCAGCACCAATGCCGTCGTCGATGCTGACATGCCACTACTGTACTACTGCCTGTGTTGCACAAACTGGTCTACTACTACTGCAATTCGAGCACTGATGTGGCTCCTGCAACTGGTGCAGCTAGTGCTGCTGCTACTGCTGTACTAGTACTAGTGCTAGTGAGAACAATGCTACCACAACTACTACACCACCACCACCACCACCGCGAACGACAGCTACTACTCCGGCTGCTGCTGCTGCTACTACTACGACTGCTACTGCTACTGCTACTGCTACTGCCCCTGCTACTGCTGCTGCTACTGCTACTGCTACTGCTACTGCTACTGCTACTGCTACTGCTACTTGTACTACTA